GCGAAATTCAAAAACAAACAAACAAACAAACTTCTGGTCAGAGCAAGCTACTTACTTAAATCAAAAATCAAAAATCAGTCAGCTACAAGAAAAAAGTCGTGGTTACTGTTTGTTCCGGTCCTATTTATCTACAGAATAATAAAACGCCCCGAGTTAATGTTTACTCTGATCGGAAGTTAATATTAAATTTAATATTGATTAATACTGAATTAATCAAGTTTCATTAGTACCGTGGTGGAGGTGTAGTTTTTTACTGAATTAACCAAGTTTCATTAGTACCATGGTGGAGGTGTAGTTTTTTACTGAATTAACCAAGTTTCATTAGTACCATGGTGGAGGTGTAGTTTTTTACTGAATTAACCAAGTTTCATTAGTACCATGGTGGAGGTATAGTTTTTACTGAATTAACCAAGTTTCATTAGTACCATGACGGAGGTGTAGTTTTTACTGAATTAATCACGTTTCATTAGTACTATGGTGGAGGTGTAGTTTTTACTGAATTAATCAAGTTTCATTAGTACCACGATAGCGGTAAAGTTTTAACTGAAGTAATCAAGTTTCACTAGTATCCTGGCAAAGGCATAGTGTTACTGATTAATCAGGCTTCACTAGTATCCTGGCAGATAAAATAAAGGTGGAACCTTAAATGCACAGGAGGTTTTAAGGTCATTTTATTACCCTCTTTATTTACACTCTAGAGTTGTATACATTTTTAAATAGACAAACGAGTATAATAGCAGAGGTGTACGTATCACTGTATTCATCTAATCTTGTAAATAACGAAGGTATCACATATATATTTCAAAAATTGAAAATTATAAACAGATAAAATGGGATACTTGATGGTGTCACGTTAACGGTGTTGAAATTCAGTTTTTCTATCTCATTTTAGTGTTTTACTATTTTAATTTTACCATTTGTGCTAGTATCATGTTAAAGGGTGTAGCTTGTTTGCTTGTTTGTAATTAAGCACAAAGCTACACAGTGGGCTATCTGTGCTCTGCCCACCACGGGTATCGAAACCCGGATTCTAGCGTTTTAAGTCCGCAGCATACCGCTGTGTCACTGGGGGGCTGGGTGTAGCTATCAAGTGATGTAATCAAGGTTTACTAATACACTGGAGATGTGAAGGTATTATTGAGCTAATCAAGTGTTATTAATAATCTGGAGATGTGTAAGTAGCATTGAGTTGATAAAGGTTTTCTTATATATTAGGGAGGTTTAGCTAGCATTGAGTTCATTAAGTTTTACTAATGCCCAGGAGAGGTGTAGGTAGTATTGAGTTAATAATGTTTAACTAATATCTAGGAGAAGTGTAGGTAGTACTGAGTTAATCACGTTTAACTAATATCTAGGAGAGGTGTAGGTAGTACTGAGTTAATCACGTTTAACTATATCTAGGAGAGGCGTAGGTAGTACTGAGTTAATCACGTTTAACTATATCTAGGAGAGGCGTAGGTAGTACTGAGTTAATCACGTTTAACTAATATCTAGGAGAGGTGTAGGTAGTACTGAGTTAATCACGTTTAACTATATCTAGGAGAGGCGTAGGTAGTACTGAGTTAATCACGTTTAACTATATCTAGGAGAGGTGTAGGTAGTACTGAGTTAATCACGTTTAACTATATCTAGGAGAGGCGTAGGTAGTACTGAGTTAATCACGTTTAACTATATCTAGGAGAGGCGTAGGTAGTATTGAGTAATCTAGTTTTATGAATACTTAGAACAGGTGTGGGCAGTATTGAGTTAATTGTTTTACTAATATTCGAGAGAGGTGTAGGTGTTATTGAGTTAATCACGTTTTACTAATATCCAGGAGAGGTGTAGGTGTTCTTGAGTTTATCACGTTTTACTAATATCCAGGAGAGGTGTAGGTATTATTGAGTTAATCACGTTTTACTAATATCCAGGAGAGGTGTAGGTGTTCTTGAGTTTATCACGTTTTACTAATATCCAGGAGAGGTGTAGGTATACTTGAGTTAATCACGTTTTACTAATACCCAGGAAAGATGTAGATAGTATTGAGTTAATCACGTTTTACTAATATCCAGGAGAGGTGTAGGTGTTCTTGAGTTAATCACGTTTTACTAATATCCAGGAGAGGTGTAGGTATACTTGAGTTTATAACGTTTTACTAATATCCTGTAAAGGTTAATAAAACTTTACTGTCACTCTGGAGAGATGTAATATTGACTTAAGTTTTACTGTTGCTCAGGGAGAAGGGTAGTTTTCACCAAATACGTTCTAGAATATTATTTTAGCTCCATAAGTGCAGGACCGTGTATTAATTTCGATTCTCGAATATTGTCGTTGACAATATTTTATCAGGTAAGTCAACGCCCGACCGTTAAACAGTTTCGATTTTAGAATATTGTGTTTGAGAATATTTTATCAGCTATGTCAATGCCCGACCGTTAAACAATTGCGACCTTAAAATCTTGTGTTTGAGAATATTTTGTTAGCTTTGAGTGTGTCTGATTCTGTATTAGGTTTGATTTTTGATTCTCGTGTTCCGTAATATTCTGTTAGATTTAGAAGTGAATGTGTTTCATATTATTTTATGATCTCCGTCTGCCTGGAGGTGTATTAGTTTTTAATTTTTGAAACTCGTTTCTGTTCTGAATGTTTTTACTAGCACCATTAATATTTTGTCCTGTATTAGCTTCATTTACTATTTCTTTTTTTATGTATCGCAAAACTTTTCTAGCTTTAGACTGTATGATTGTATGTTACTTTTGTTTATTAAAACTTGTATGTGTTTCAGAATATTATGATAGTTTTAAAAGTGCCTGACTCTGTTAGTTTTAATTGTTGAAAGTTATATGCCTTTCAGAGTATAGTGGTAGGTTTAGAATATTTTACTCTACTCTTGTATTTTGTAAGCATTTCAGACTGTTCTGTTAGCTCTATCAGTGTCTGACCGTCTATTACTATTTATAATTGAATCACGTGTCTGTTTCAGAATGTTTTGTACCTTTAGCAGTGTCTGCTTGTTTATTGATTTCGATATTTGATAGATTCAGTAGCATTGTAGTTATTGATTCTGTTCTTTTTCAGCTTGAGTTTCCATCTGTTTTGTTTCTTTCCTTCCGAGGTCCTACGCTGTATTAGTTTATATAATCCCATATTTTGTAGTTTTTTTTTAATTTCCTTTATTCCATTTACGCTTTCCTGCGTGTTCATGCTATAATTAATTTTGAGTTTTTGTAGACCTTTCACTGCCATCATATGCTATTCTATGAAATGATTTCCATATTGTTAAAGACAATCAGTTTTGGTTATCTGAACAAGTAATTAGATTTGAACGAAAAATCAAACCAGTAATCAATATAGCTGATTTAACACACTATTCTTACTTACAATGATTAGAATGCATTGATTTATTAATGAGGTATCCTCTATATTAGGACGTGCGTGCTCTAGTGGTTAATATACCGACTATTGGTTTGAAGGTTCATGTTCCGGTCCCGTTGCTGCAAAAAAGAACAACAACAACAACAACAACAAAAAAGAAATCGTGCTCCGCACTTTTGGGTCTTCGGTGCATTGTAAGAATGACGATCAAATCCTGTTATTTCATTAAAGTAGGCTGCTGGTGGACGCTGCTGGCTAGCTGTCTTTTCTTTAGTTTATAAGTTCAAAATTATGGTCTTCTAGCGCAGACAGTTCTCGTGCAGCTTTGCGCAAATATCCGAAAACCAAAGCAGACTAGGAAAAACAAAACAAATCTGGCGATTAGCGACATTTTCGGACATAATCAGAGTAATATCTCATGAACCTCGGTCAGTTTAGAAGATTTAGGTTAGTCCTAAATCTATTTAACATATATATGATTTTCACCAGTACTGGCAATGAAACTAATATTAAAGAAATCTAACAAAATAAATAAAAATTAATTATTTGTAACACTAATTTAAACAATATATTTGAAACCAGCGTTATATAGAAGTGTATTATTTCTTGAAAACAACTTCGTTTCTTTACTAATAAATTAAATACACGAATGATTACTTTTTTGAGCAGTATAGTGCTTATTTGATGAATATAATACAACCTTACTACTTAAATATTTCCC